CCCCCCCCCCCCCCCCCCATTGGTTGTTTCAGGTAGAGGAGTCCCCAAGTGAGAAGCAAATAAAGAAGAGCCCTCTTCCATCTTCAGAAAGAAAACCTGTTAAGCTAGTCAGGAGCAGGTCTTTCGAAAAGTCCTTGGACCTGAATGAGAATGAAAATCTTCCTGAGAAGAGCAGTGCCTCAGATAGTGAAGAAGGTAAATCTCTTAACAGTTGGGATCTGTAACAGAACCTGACTCTGGTGTTCCATCTCACTTGTGGAGCAAGTTAGAGAACTTTTTGATCTTATGAAACTTGTTTGCTCATTTGTTTCACAGAATTGCAGCAAAAACATCTTTGTATCTTAGTTTCTGGGGAGAAAAAAATAAAGTTGTTGTTGAAGGTGTTTAGAACGAAAACAAATTGTGGTTTTCCTTCTCTTTTGGTGGGTAAAGAGTTGCTAACAGCTTAAACTAAAAAAAAGTTTCTTGACAATGTGGTGTTGTTTGTTCACTTTCCGTGCTCTCACAGATATTTCAAATATTTTTTTTTTCTTTCCTTTGTTTTCACTTCATGGGAACTGAGGGGAAACATTTCAGACTGTTCTCCAGTTTCTGAAAGATTCCTTCACCTTCCCCACACCCCGTCCCCCGCCAAGTTCTTTAGGTTTCTACTTTCTTAAGGCATATGGGCTTCAATGTTATTGATAGAGCGAACTGAGGAACTCACTGACTGTCCAGGCAAGACAACTTCCTGGCTTTCAGGATTGTATTGTGCATATTCTGAATCTGGTCTGAAGATGAAAAGCCTTAACATGTTATCTTGGAGCAGATTACACTTCATGTGCCAACAGAGTATCTTAATGGATCCCAATATACCATCCTCATAACTCATACCTCATTACCCAGTACAAGATGAGAAGAAACATGGGTACCACAGTACTACAGAGCTTGTTACTTGGCTGTTATTTGCTTCCTTTCCTCTTCTCACTGTAGAAGAGAAAAACATAGCTTTATGTCTCATAGCAGTTTTGGTATAAGTGTGTTATCTCCTGTGGAGAGAGTAAGGCCAGAGCGCGCCTTCTACCCAGGCTGGATGACAGTGAGACTTGTGCTGAGGTCTGTGGGTGCTTGTTCTATGGTCACACCATAGCCCCTGGCAAGTTCTCGCTCTCTAAGGTGAGCTTTTCACTTACTGTGGGGAACTTTTCTGTGCCAAAGGGCTGTAGTTGTTCAAAGAACTCAGTGAAGTTGTGGTGGATGTTCTGTTAAGTATCCCAATCTTGGACTCTGTAAATGCCTTTAAAACGAGGTGTGCACAGCCTGGATTGGTTCCAAAGTTGTATGGTGGTGTACAAATGAAAGACAGAATAGCTCAACAGTAGCAGTGTGCTTAGTAGCAATTGAATATTTATTTCATATGCAAAGAGATAACTTACTTTCATCACCTGTTGGCAGGAATAGAACAGTTCAGTTAATTGAGGCCAGTTCTTAATCTGACTGAGAAGTTTTGCATCTCATCTTTTCAGAGTTGGCAACTGAAGTTGTGTGCAGATGTTAATATGTTGGGATCACTGAGCTGTCCAGGAAAGCTTTCAAAGTCATGGCTTGAATTGGCTGCTTGCAAGTTGTGATTGTTGCCTGAGGGTATATTTTATATTCAACTAACTTTCCTTTTGCTCACTCATACTGCTTATGTGTTTGCTTGAGTTCAGATTCAACTCAATGCATGTTAACGTATAATTTTTGTTAATCTGCCTACTTGAACGGGCTGTAGTTTATGGTGTACTCCTACACATTTAACCAGCTTCACACCTTACTTCATCACAGGTGTATCTTTTAGAGCAGCAGAAACTTTTGGCCTTCAGATGTTTTAGCTATCGTGCAGTTTTCCTATCCTCTTAGTAGCACATATCTCTTCTCTCTCTGGATTTTATTTTTTATGACAGAGGTCTCCAGTGAAACTGATTGAAAATAGTCCTGTTGTCTTTCATGCAGCTGTTTGCCTAAATGATGGCAGTAAATACTCCCTGTCATCCCTGCATTGGTGATGTTGAGTAAATAGAACATATTAAACTGGAGATGTCTCTTTTTATTAAAGAGAACAGACTTCATGCTACTTTTCTTACTTCTCCTCCCTCCCCCAAGACTAGTCTCTCTTTATTCAGAGCAGGATTTTCTAGTCCCACAACATGGATCTTTCTTCTCAGATTACCTTCATGCTTAGATTTTTTTTTTTTCTTCTTCTGTTTCTCTGTTTTCTATTGCAGGCTCTATTCACCTAGTCTTACAAGGTGAATTCCTTCATGCAAACGGAACTAGCTTTCCTACATGGCAAAGGTTTACCCATGCGATTAATTTCTCTTGTGTCCTCTGGCACATTCTCAGGCTGCCCATGGAGGTGTCCTAGCAAATAAGGTGAGGGGCAAGCTCAAGACTGTTGTTCTCCAATTCCAGTCTGCCTGACACCCAAAGCTGGAATGCCAGAGCCTTAGCACCAGTTCCCTTGCCCTAAGCAATTCTCACATTTCTTACCTCGGTTATGTGGGGTGTGCGTCTCCCTAGGCACCACTGGCCTGTTGACCTGGATCTTCGTGCTTTTGTTTGGTTTTGTAAGTTGGAGTATAAGTCTTGAGCCATGACAAACTTTTGGCTAAGCTAAAAATTATTATCTGTGGTCTTAATTCTGAATTTTAGAAAACAAATTTTAGTTAAAGCACAGAATATATATTTCCAAAATAGAGTCAGGAGATTCTGAATTCCCTCAAATTACTCTTTCATTTGTAGAGTTGTTTTTTTGTTGTTGTTTGTTTTGGTTTTGTTTTTTGCAATGACAATGTTCAGCAGCATAAAATACTTCAAAGAAAGAAAGGAGAAGCAGGAAATTAGAAAACAGGCTTTTCAGTTAGAAAGCTTTACTGTGTATGGGGACATGATAAATTCCTGATCTCTTTGTGTAACTTGACAGACTTACTATATTGTTTCTGTTTGTACTAATAACCACCTTAAATGTGTGGTCTGCAGGAGAGCGTAACTGCTTGCACTGTAGTGCTGAGATGAGTACAGTGGCGGGTTTGACTTGTCTTGCAGATAGGGATGTATGGGGTAGAAAATGTTTGAAATACAGTGTGGTTGAAATTAGTTCAGCCCTGTGACATCTGCCCCATCCGAAAGCAAGTATTTTGTTGCATATATAACTACCAATTATTTGTTGCTTTGAGGTTTGGAGGATATATGCTTAAGTTATCTATAGGCAAAAGGTGTTTGTTTTTTAATCTTGTGAGCTGGAAAAAGCTAGCATTGTCACAATACTTACTCAATACCTCCCCAAATTAATGTTTTACCTAGTCTTTTAAAGTATAGGAGAGCTCTTTGAGAATGGTTAATATTGCTGATGCAGTCTTTAAATAGATGGTGTCTGGAACATGTTCACTCTAGGAATTGGTTTTATTGACTTGATTTCAAGTGTATCTGGTTAAAGGCTCCTATTTATATACTCTTCGTGCAGTGTGCAATTTTTCCTCATCCCCAGCAGCACAGAAATCCTCAACAGTGCAAAGATTTGCATACATACATTTTCTTTTTTTCCTGATCCTCCCCTAACTCTGTGGAGTGGAAAAATCAGCTGGTTTATTAATTTGTTTGATAGCCTCTGCTCTTACTGGTTCAGCTTTCTTAATTCGCTTGTGGTATGTGTTTAGCTTCAAGCTGTTGGTTGTTAATGGGAATTTTAAGAACTTTTTTTTTTCCTGCCCCCTTTCCCCCCCTCCATTTTTCTGTCTCTTTCTTTTCTTGCACTGCAGATGTTTTCAAACCTCTGCAATCACTGCTGCATAATGGTATTGTATTCAAACATTATTTCACAGCTTGCCTTGCAGTGATGAAAATGACCTTATGAAGTGCAAGGCAATAGTGGGGGAGGGAACAGACTTGCTGACTTCAGGCTGAACAAGGACACTCTGGGTCATATGTTTACTTCTGGATTTTTGGGTCCCTAGGGATCCTAACCTAAAGTCGGAATAATCTCATGTTCTGTTATCAGACAGTAGCTCCAATTCATCTATAAATGTATTCGAGCTAAGAGAGTCAGTGTTAATTTCATACTGCTGAGGGGTTAGAACAGCATTAAAAGTTAAGGAGTTAGAGTGATATCTGGGTACCTGCACAAAACATTGTGTTCATAAAGAGTATTTCTAAGCCAGTCCCAGGTAAAATGCTTGATGTTGCTCTAATATTGAGATAAATAAAAGGCAGGTAGGTTTACCTGTGTGAGTTAAAACAAACAAAAAAAACCAGTAGACAAACATGCATATTCATTTGTAGCAGACACGAGTAGTTAAAGCTTTCTATTCTGTTCAAATTGCAAGCATGTAAACTGTACACTTATTCTTTGCTATGCTAGTGTTTCTGCTCACTGCTTTATCTAGGATTTCCACAGCTAAACTCTGAGAAGGCCAGATGGAAGTGACTTGAAGCTTGTCAAGCTCTTGGTGTATGCAGTGACTTGCTTCCACAGATGTGGGACTCACAGCAGCATTCATACATACATGCTCCTTTGAGACCTATTGTCTGAAAGGTTTCCAGGCTTTCTGGAAAACAGCTATTTGCATCCTAGCTTCTAAAGTGGCTGATGGCCTGATGTATCAACCCAGTTTCAGCTTGGATTTTCTGAAAATACTGCTTTATGTGATAACACCACTTGTAAAATTTTTTTTGTTCCAAGAGCTGAGAGGGGTTGTAAGTAAAAACATTTCTCAGTAGATACTCTCCTGTACTTGGCACTTCATTGACTGTTCTTTATTAGAGGCATGACTAGGTAGAAATAGTGTAGGTAAGTCAGATAACAGGAAATTTTGTATAGAGCTGTGGATGCTGTTGCTTAAGACTTGATACAAGGAGGACAGACTTTACACTTGAAGAATAAAATATCTCAGTAGTGAGGCCTGCACCTAAAGGTAATAACACATGGGCTTTGTGCTTATCATAAGTTACTGTGGCTTACCAAATTACCTCGCGTCAGCAGAAACATAGTAGCTGTCCTCAGTGGTTCAGGTGAACATAAAGTTGTGTCATTTAGCTAAACCTCACTAGGACAAAGGTAACTTGTGTTATCATGTATTTGCTAAGACATATACAAATAGCTGTCAAAGCTTATCTGATGCATGGTGACTTTATCATGTGCCTAGACCTTTGCATTTTTTTTTTTTTGAGCAATTGCAAATTCCTTGCGCATGTCAAGGTCCAGCTGAGTAAGACTCAGAGTAACTAGGTTTGAATTACCTGGTGTCTGACTCCATGCTTGTTAGCTGATGCACAGTAGGCGAAGGGGGATGTCAACATCAATATCTGAAGCTTCCTGTCTCTTGGTGAAAGAGTGGAAGTGGGGAGTGAACTCTGAAAGGAGATAGGTCTGCAGTGTTGAGGTCTTGTTAGTTGAGGCCAAACTTACAGTTCACTTGGACTGCATTTTGCTGGAATTAGGTTCAGCTCTGAGAGGAAATACAATGAACGTAAACTGAAAACCCAGTCTGGATTTCTGGCTTCCCACAGGTTGTTTCAGCACAGCAGAATCTGTATTCTAGCATGTAGTAACTGCATATTGGCTGCTTAAATAGGCCTCTTAAAATGCGTGCTTGCTTTCTGTCCCATCTCACAATTGAATAGACTTACGTAATTGCGTAAGCAGAACATGGTGTGGGAAGGAAGTCCATCTCTTGTGCAAGCACAAAAATAAAGCACTCATGCTTCAGTTTTGGGGTCCTACGTTGAAGCCTGATTAGGTCAAAGAGAACTTTTTTTGGAGGCCAATGTATAACAGGGACTTCTTGCAGGCTAGAAGCAGCACTAGAGCGGAAGTCTGCTCAGGGTCAGAATTGGATTTCGTTGGGAACTGTTGTGGTGTTCAGTTGCTGCATTTGCGTTTATCAATACTGACTGCTCCCAAGCAATAATGTTTTAAGTGCTGTAACCTTAGCCTATAGGCAGCTTGTGAACTATAGCTTGATATTCAGGCTACCTTTGCATTGGTGGCTGGCAGTGACCTTTGCTAAATCTGACCATTCATTTGTATCGGTTGAGAGGTTAGGCGTCCTGACTTCTGTCTTACTTCTGCAAGATTTGCTTTCAGCCTTTTTGCTTCGTTTTACTAATGTGTGGTGGTGGGGTTTTTTGTTTGTTTTTGATAACTGTAGCTTAGGATGGACTTGTTTCTAAAGCATAAGCAGATTGAACTGGGGTTGGCGTAGGAGACTGCTTGCCTTCCAGGATTAGAATTCTATCCCTTCTCTCTTGCAAGAGTGGCTGAGACAACCACAAAGCTGAGTCATACCAGCAACCAACAGGAAGCAGAAATAGCAAAGATCAGTGCTGCAGCCACCGAATGCCACTAGGGTGCTTGTTGGTGGTTTTGAAATAGGGGACGGCAATTAAGCATCTTGGTGTACTTTTCAGGACTGCAGAATGGAGCAAGGTACCTCTTGCGTTCCTCTTATAAATAGGTACGGAGGGAGGAACAGTTTGAGGAACTGCTTGGGAGTCTGCCTGGTCTCTTAGGCTGTGGACCCTACCAGCATTACAGATGTTAAAAGCAGAATTCTGAAACTAGCCCAAAGACGAAAACTAGTATGGTTTCCACTGTCCTGCTTGCTGTGTCTCTCCTTTGTACAATAGGCACACATATTAATAAAGATTACACTAACTTTTGGCTTCCTCAGTATTTCCTGTAGGATGAGCAGAATATTGAAGGCAAAACTGAAGGAATGGGACCTTGAGATCTTGATTTATCAACTTATGTTGCACAGGGAGATGGCGGTGGGGGGTTGAAAATCAACTCTGGACTTGGCTCCTGGAGGCAACCTACCTACCAAATCATGTGCTGTTATCATTACTGGGTTTCTGAGAGTGAGAAACAAATGCTTGTGCAAACTTGGGAAGGATTTGAGCTGTAATAAAGCTTAGTATTATGAAGAAGCTTTATAACATTCTGTTCCTTTCTTAACCTGATCTTTCTGCCTTTCCTTAGCAGTGAAGGAGTCTGTCTCTGAGAATGATATCTATGGGAGACTTTTTATAAACAGAGTTTTCCACATCACCGCAGACAAGATGTTTGAAATCCTTTTCACCAATTCTCATTTCATGCAGAGGTTTCTCAATTCCAGGAGTATAGTAGGTAATATACTCTTCTCCCTTCTGTCTGTATTGCAAACTACCCTGAAAATTTCAGCCTCTGAGAAATGTTAAATTAGGGCTAAGTTGAATTTTAAGTTTCCTCTTGTTTTAAAAGAACTTTGAAGCCTTAAAGTTCCGCTATGAGAGAGGCTATTTAAAGATAGCCTGTTGTTTCTGTGGATCTGTAGATCAGTCACATTTCAGAGTAAAAACCTCATTTTACTGCACCACAAAACTGTACCTTAATGCCTGAATTTTGGATAGGCTATTAAGTTAATGCATTCTGTGGGGTATTTCTGAATTACATTGTGTCCCAGAAATAGTGAAATGTGTACGACTGGCACACAGGCAAAATCATTGCATCCTCCTAAATGATACTCACAGGCTTTAATTTTCTGGATGAGTAAATTTTATTCACTGAGATCATAAGAACAGAAAATTAAGTCAAAAAAGGTAATATTTATTCAGTGTCAGCTTGGAAGGCAAAGTGGCAAAAGCTTTATATGATGCTAAGTGAATCTATTCAACTTCAAGCAGATGGGAAATGACATACTTTCATTTAATTGCTTACTCTTCTCCCCACCCTCAAGTCTCTTTCAGTAGACTCAGGTTCAACTACTTAATGCCTCACCTTTTGTTCATCAGTGAACTACAATTTTCCCTTTTCCTGCAAAAAACACAGTCATTTTGAATCAGTTTTCTGTCTCTCTCCCCGCCACTGTTCTTAAACTGTTAAGATACAAAAGGGCAGAGATAATGCCTTTTAGGTAATCTGCATGTGAGATTTTGCATAATTTCTTGTCTAGATGCTGTATCAACCCCTTGGAATAGAGATTCCAGTGGCAATCAGTTGAGGACTTTGACGTACACTGTAACAATTAACAATCCACTTTGTGGGAAGTTCACAACTGCAACTGAAAAGCAGGTACTGTGTGCGCATGTGTGTCTGTCTGGTGCCCTTTAAAGCAAGGCAGAGGTCAACACTATGGTCTGTCAGAGATCTGACCATGGATTAGAGTTCAGTGAGCTGAATGTGAATCTGCAGTTGAAATGTAGCATCTCTAGAGGGTACCTTGCTGCCCCTCTTGCCATTAGTGAGCAAACTCTGATGAAATCAGAGAGGCTTTCTACCTTTACAAGTGGCTGTAAACTTCTCACACAGTCTGTGGGGAAAAGTACTAACAACTCTTACGAGGAGGTGAAAAGATGCAATGAAATGCTTTCAATGTCCACTTCGGGGCTCCCCAGTAAGAGAGAGAGATGGAAAGAGTCCAGCAAAAGACTACTAAGATGGTTAAGGGGCTGGAGCATCTCATATGAGAAATGGCTGAGAGCTGGGACTGTTCAGCGTGGAGAAGAGAAGGCTCAGAGGGGATCTTTCAATGTATATATGTATCTCAAGAGAGGGTGCAAAGAAGTCTGAGCCAGGCCTTCACTACCAAAGGCTACACCTTTCAGTGGTGCCCAGTGACAGGACCAGAGACGATGGGTACAAACTGAAACACAGAAGGTTCCCTCTGAACATCAGGAAATGCTCTTTTACTGTGAGGGTGACTGAGCACTGGAACAGGTTGTCCGTAGAGGTGGTGGCATCTGCTTCCTTGGAGAAATTGGAAAGCCATCTGGACATGGTCCTGGGCAACCAGCTCTAGATGACCCTCGTTGACAGGATTCTTGGTGAAGATGACCACCAAAGGTGCCTTCCAGTCTCAACCATTCTGTAATTCTGCTTTGGGAAAGGTCTCATAGTTCAGTCTCAAAGAAGAGCTGTGGTCATGAATCAGTGGCCAGCCTTGCAGATATCTGGTACTTGAAATGGCAGTGGGGAAGTACTGCTTGTGCCTATGTTGGCTGTAGCAGGAGGCATCTTCTTGTTCCTCACCCCACCTATACTTGCCATTCTTAACTAGTTTTTATTGTGGTTGTTCAGGTTTTCTCCCTATTTTAGTTCACTTGAAGTTGGTTGGTCTAGCCTAAGGAATTCAGGCTGAAAGGAAAAAAAGTATACAAAATTGAGTACCATGAGTATGCCTTCTTATTTTTATTTTCCTTTATGGTAGATCCTGCATAAGCAGAGCCAGAAGGGTCAGTCTTACCAGGTGGATGCTGAGGTACTGACCCATGATGTCCCCTACCATGATTATTTCTACACTGTGAACAGATACTGCATCAGCCGCACATCCAGTCACAAGTGTCGATTACGGTGAGCCTTGAGTGGTGCACAGTGGGAGGGGAGATACTAAGGCACATATGTTATGGGTTGATGAAGCGTGCTTATCAAAAGATCTGCCAACAGCATAGAGAAGGTCAGTTTCTCTTGAAGTTGGGGATCTCTTCAGAAAAATAAGCTTGGTTTGTCTTGTCACATGTATGCTGTATTTGGATCTCATTAATATGGTAAGAAATGAATTCTTATGTTGATTTTATGAGGTACAGAACTCATCTCCCAAGACTGAACTGAGTTCTGACCAGCCTTGCATTTTCGAGTGCAGCTGTGTAAGTGGGATAAATTGGAACTACCCGAGATGTTTTATTACAAATTTTCCCAGATATCTTGGCCAAGGACCTGTAGAGGAGGATGGTTTTACAGGAAGGTGCAGGGAAGATGGAATGCACCTACTTTTGCAGGGAGCATACTGAAGCGAATCAGACTTCATTATTGAACTCTGCCTAGGTAGGGGAGTCATAAAAGGCACTTCCCTTTCCTCTCCCGTTTGTTGAAAATGCCCAAAGTGATCAAGTTCCATGTTCAGTGCATTTGTGTGACTTTCTGACTATGTAATCCTTGGTAGTTTTTGTGCTGTCTTTAAGACCTTTTATCTCAAACTTTATCAGTACCCAGGAAAGGTAAGCAAGCCTGGATTTTACTCTGGTTTATATCAGGCTATAAAGGTGCTGAAGACTCCCTCTCTACTGGGAGTAGGGAAGAAAAGTCCTTGAACAACTGTTCTGGATGTCTTTTTTTTTTATTATTTTTTTTTTTTAAGTGAGTCATTCTTCCTCTGAGAGCTGTATTTGTTTTATCTGAGACACGTGGCAACCCTAGAGTAAGAGCAAAAACCTAGGTTTCAGTATGGTGCACAGAGCATGTATGTATAGAACAGAAGGTGCATGGTGGTGTTACAGCTGGCTTTATTATACTGTGTTTAAAATTGCTCAAAAACTATTTGAAAGATGCTGTTTTGTTAAACTAGAAATGCAGTGAGCTCACATTGATTGGAATTATTATTTGGAAACATTGAAAAAGGTGTATTCTAGGACAGTCAGTGTTCTTGACTTAATTCAAAATCACATGCTATCCTTTTCTCCTTTATGAAGAGCTCTGAGATTCATTCAGTTGTAAGAAGTGGCCCTCTGAAGGATTCTACTCCAATTCATTTCTATTCTGGAAGCATTATTGATTAGCTTGACCTGGGGAATGCAAGACAGGAAGGTCACTTCCCTCTGTCATGCTCGCAGAAAGACAGATTTTAATTTCTGTCTACTCAGGGTAGGATCTGAGCACTTGGTGCATGAGCGGTGATAACTAATTTCATCTGCTGCCATTGTGGTGCCCATGTAATATGTCATGTGTACACATACAGAGTAAAAAGCAGAACTTCATGATCTGAAAGCCTGAAGCCAATTTTAAATGTACGTTAAAATGAGAACACTTCAGAGGAGAGAAATTCTCTGCTAGTCTGTCTGAGGGAGATGACTTTAGATGTTTCCTGTAATTTGGACGTTCAGATCTCCTGAGGCTTTAGCTAGATATGTTGTCTTTACTACTGTTTGTCTCTTGCCTTGCTTCAGTGTAAGTGCTGCCCAGGTGGAAAGCCAAGGCAGTTCCAGCTGGTATTTCAGATTATGGGCATAAGCTGGAAGAAGCCTGCTTTTGACGAGATATTTCTGCTTATTTAGAAGACCACTCTTTCACTATTGCATTCTGTTTATTAGGGTTTCTGCAGAAGTGAAGTACAAAAAACAGCCTTGGGGCCTTGTCAAGTCTGTAATTGAGAAGAATACCTGGGGAGGAATACAGGAAAACTTCAAACAACTTGGTGAGGCATTTTCCTCTTTGTGCTGGAGTAAGGAGGCTACCTTTCCTATGTATGTTTTCATATCAGTCAGACTTGATTCCTTAAATAATGGTTTGAAAAGAGGGCAATACCAAAGGAGTCTCAAAGTCAGAAGTTCATATCATCAATATATCTGCCAATTCCAGGGTGTAAAAGAAGCCTCGTAGCTTAATGCTAACAAGGAGCTCTTGCATACCTTGTCATAATTGCTTTCTGAAGGAAACATGAGGAGTAGCAGGAAAGCTGTTACCCTCAACCACATATCCCTGTCTCTAAGTATTCCTTGATTGTAGGTATGAGAAGAGAAGCAGTGGCACTTGGCAGGCTCCCTGGCTATGTCTGTTAACAGCCTGGCCGGCCATGGCTGCAAACTCACAGTCTAACACAATTCCTACTCTCAGTCTAACAGTGTCTTGAAGTGCTCTTCCAACTGCTGTCTAACTTATCATTAAACAATCCTGCATAGGCTGAATGTATACTGAATGTATCTGGAAAGTGTACTAAGTGCCCTCTAGCAAATAGGACAGGTAGTACAGGTCAAGGTGTAGTTTATGGCAATTACTTGCTTTAGGTTCATTTACTAGAAGGTGCGTTTATCCCTCTCACTGCCACCTTCCATATCTCACAATTTTAGTCTTCAGTGCTAGGCTTTTCAGCTTTCAATTTGAAAGTTCAGTAACTTTATTTTTTCCAATGCAGAATCAGATCTTCTAATGGAGGAATATGCAATTAATCAGTCCATAGAAGATTCTGGAAAATTAGTTGCCCTGAGACGAAGACGACGCACTTTACACCGGAGTCTGGCAGAATCACTTCCCAAACGTTCTTCCCAACACTCCTCTGGTGACACAGGAGTAGAGTCCCAGGGCAGCATCATAGGTAGGAATTTTTATATCAAATGTTTCCCAAAAGGTGTATTCAAGAAAGCTTAACTACTCTCATTATCTTTATCTAATTAGTGTGACAGCAAATGCGTTAGTGTGTTCAAGCTTGCCTAAAATAGATTTGGAGCATGCATAGTCACCTTTATGATGAGTATCTCATGAAATCAAACCTAATCTCACCTTCTATTTTTAAAACAAACAAAAAACAATCAAACCCTAAAATGCTGCACTGTACCTGCATAAGATTGAAAATGAGATGGGATCAGAAAGAAATTTAACCTGACTTTTGTAAAGTTGCTGAAAAATTGCTTTATTTCTTCAAATAACTGCACACCCAAGTCATGAGTTGATTAAACTTGGACCTGTCATCTCATGGGGGTTTTTTTGTTTGGTTGGGGTTTTTTGTTAATGAGGCTATTTCCTGTCTACTTCTGTAATTTCTGGGTCACTGAAGCATTTCTTGCAGTTCCACTGCCCCTAGGCACAACAGACTTGGCCACTAGCATATGCAATATTAGCTACACCTACAGAGATGAGGAATATCTGTGCACTAATGTGTACCAGAGAATGGTGGATTTCATGACACAAGTTGAATTGTAAACACTGAAGTAGGAGCAAGTGCCCTTTCCTAAAGGGGGAGACAACACTGAGTATGGCACTGAGTGAACATTTGGATCAACAGCATGTGTAATGGACTCTTTGCCTAACTGACATTACTTTCTGATTGATTAATTTTGCTATTGCTGCTCCACCTTTTCAGGTGAGTGTGTCTGTCTCGGTATACACTGCAGCTTTTGTGTATGCCCTTTGTCTACAGCAAGAAATGTGAATGTAAGGAACTGTTTTAGGAGACAAGGTAATTATATTTAAAGATCAGCCTGCCCACGGCAGTAGGTGATTGCTGCTCCGTTTGGAGAGGATGCTTCCTCTCCCTCACTAGTGTCTGGTCCCTGTTGCCTGATGACTACCAGATGCTCTTTCAAAAGGCTGTCTTTAGGCCAATATATAAGCCAAGCCAATAAGGATGGGACAAGTTGCAGGAGAACTTGTCCTGCAACTTCTGACACTGGTTGTCAGAAAGACTAATGTGCGCAGGAGAACAAGCAGAAGAGAGCCCCTTTGCAGCCCCTCTCTGCTTGTGTTTGACTAGCAGCATATGTGCTGAATGAGTGTTAGTAATGGATGGACTGTAGCCTTCTCAGGCTATCTAAGTTTAATGTGAACATGCCACAGTCCTGTATTTTCCCCACCATATTGGGGTAGGAGGAATCCTGCTCCTGATGGAAGAGCCTGACTGTCCAGCTGACTTGTCTGAGATGACTGCAGAAATGCCTTGGTGAATGTTGGAGATGATTCTGTGCACCCACGTGATCTGTTATTTTTTTCCATCAGAAGCTGTTGAGCTATTCTGTGTGAAATGCTGGGCACTGATATGTATCTGCAGGCATCCTTTAGGAATGTTCTTCAGTACTTTTTAACCTCCTTCTCTTCCATGCCCTATAGGAAGGAAAAGAGATGCTGTAAGTAGGACCACCACCATCATTGTAGTAATGAGTGTCTTGTAAGTACTCACTTGCATTAAAGTGTGGCTTGACTCAGGCTCATCTTGGTCTTTATCTGTATTTGTCTGTACCTTACTTGCATGTTAACATTGCATGTAGCATGATAGATCCTAACCTAATTTGAATGGAGCACTCAGGTATAGGAGGGGAATGGATTGACTTCAGTGACAGATGGAATGAAAATGCTGATTTGCTGAACTAGTCTACCATGCAGGTTTATTTAGGTCTGATCCTATTAAAAGAAGTCTAGAATTTACTCATTCCTAGTTTTAAAAGTTCCAAGAGGAGACACTGTTGTCACTCCTATTGGTTGCTATTACGCAGCTTAATGCTAACTGCTAAGAATTGTTTGGATAGATCTTTATTTTCAGTATAGTGCTGCCCCACACCTTTTTTCTCCCAGAGGGATTCTCTTAACTGTTTTTAGCCATGATCTTGTTTCTGTAGCGTTGCAACTGAAATTGTTACAGGACTTGATTTTTGTTCTCTTCTCACTACAGTTTGCTGCTCTTGGTCTTGCTGAATATAACACTGTTTCTCAAACTGTCAAAGATAGAGCATGCAGCTCAGTCCCTCTATCATGTCCAGCTTCAGGAAGAAAGCTCTTTGAAGTAAGTTGAATTCACAATTATTGCTTGCTTTCATCCTCTACTTATGTGAGAATCTCATTTAAGAAATAAGGTTTAAACATTGAAACCTAGTGGTAAGTTTTCAAAAGCTGCTGGGGCTTACTGCTCTTCTGTGGTCTAAGCTGATATCCAGTGACATGTCTGACTGCATCTTGCAGTAATAAATTCTCCTTTGACAAGCTGGTTTTTGGGGGAGTGTTAACCTTGGCTGGTGTTTATCACCCTGCTGTGATTCATCTTCTGTGAATATCATAGTGCCGATCACAGAACCGAAGTGTTACCTTCATCCTATGTGAACCAGCATGATCTCAAATATAATGTTAGAGATTCATTTAGCTTTTTAGCCTCTTTCTGTGAGTCTCCTGCTAAATCTCCTCTCCCCCTAAAACTTCCATGTTAGGTGCCTTTTGTATTCAGACACATGGAAGAGGCTCAGATGTTGCTTTCTCTCCTGAATATTGTATCAGCAAACAAGTTAAAAACCATAACCTGATCTTGAAAACCATAGAACCGTAAAAACCTTGGGTTTTAACGAAGTTAAAAAACATAACCTGATCTTGTGTGGTGACCTCCTGCAGCGAGAATCTCCTAACTGATTAGAGTAACTTTCTTCATAAGAAAGAGCTTGCTCTCTGAAGTGTGAGAACTTACACTCTAGGCATAATGCAAGCGCATTTGTTCTTGATGGCTCTGGTCTACGAAGGTCTGAGGCAGTATCTTCAAGGCAACAGGGATTGAAATTCAACTGTAGGCAGCTTTTTATGTGGCCTTTGAAAAAGGATGATTTTAGCAATGGCAGAGCAATGGTGACAGAGCAGTTGCTTTTAGAAAGGCATTGAGATACTTGTTTCATGTTTATGATGTAATCTCAATCTCTTTCAGCATATCCCCAGAAATGGTATCAAAAGAGGAAGTCCCTCAGTATGATAAGGAACAGGTTAAACACGTGAAGGGAGTTTTAAGAGACTCAATTGAAATGCTTGAGCAGGTAGGTCTCTCAGTCTTTCCTGGTGATATTCTTGTTTCTCAGCAACTCAAACTTTCTCCCTTATGCCATCATAGCTTTTGTTTGGTGTCTTTTGGTGCTAACTAAAGTTTTCATGACTCCTTGACCTGTTTTGTCCTAGGCTTGAATTTGGTACATAGGCAATGCTCATGTGTCTGATATTTTGGGTTGAGGTTTGTTGTTTGTTGGGTTTTTTTTTTGGACTAAGATTGAATATTCATGTCAATTCCCTTAAACCTGTCAAGTGCCTGTATTGATGAGATGTGTTGATGCAGTTCTGAAATCATGACAAAGCAAAGACTGGAGTAATTAATAACAGATCCTCTTTTCTAAGAAGACTCAAAACCATAATGTTAAGTATTTGCCCACCTCATTATGGGATTTCTTCATTCTGGTTTATCCTGGCTTTTGCTCTCCACTACTCTTCTGGATATTGGTGAGAGCTTCATTTAGCCTTGGTATCAATGGGCCACCTAATCTCCAGTGAAAAATAAATTAATTCTACAGACCACATGTTTCTGAGAGGCTCCATAGCTATGGAGTTAATCCTGCTTCTCAGAAACTTACGCTTTCAGGCTCCCACATACTACAAACACTATATAAAAAATGAAGTTGTTGAAAGCTGTTGTGCCTCTCTGATCCTGAAGTCCAGGACTGGTAAACCCCTAGGCTGACATTTCAACTCAGTAAGTGAAGGACAGTAAATTCATACTTTGTTTTTTTACTTATAACCTATGAATGTTCTGATTTTAAGTTCTTTTAATAAATCTTAAAATGTGACAGGAGAAACTATTAGATTAGGAAAGCTGTGGGGGAGTTTACATGTACCTCTATCCATCACCAGTTTGCTCTGTGTTCTCCCACGCACTAAAGGAGGGTAGAAAAAGAAGCCATTTTTTTATACTCTTTGTTCAGAGGTGTCTCTGCACACAAGATTGCTATTAATCGATTAACCATTTTGATCACAGCTTGAAAAAGCTTCTGAGTGCTGGAAATTTCACTGTAGAAATTAATTTCCTGGTTTCCATTCCCTTTTCGTTTTCTCTGTTTACTACCCAAACAGTTCCTAATTCTGAAGTATTAAACTGCTTTTTCAATGCACAGAGTGTAAAAAAAAACTTTAAAAAAAAAAAAGGTGAGAATTCAACCACTTCTATTTTTTTCATCCCCGATCTAATACTTTTGTCTGGAAGTCATGACACACCTTGGTGCCTGTTACCTTGTGTTTTCTGAGGGTTGTCAATAATCTAAACACATTTTGTGCACCAAAATGCACTGGGAGGGCAAAGTATTAAAAGAAAATTCATGCTTTGCTGCCGTGTTCCTTACAGTGTTTGCTATGAACATTAACTGTGACTAAAAATGAGTGAGGTGGCTTGTCTTCTGCCCTATTGTCTGGTGAGGTGTTACAACTTCATCATACTGGACTGTCAGTAATTATAAACTGTACAGAGTATAGCTGTAAGGAGAGCACAGTAAGGCAACTAACTGTTTATAGAAACAGGGAGGAGGAAATTGCGTGAAATCTTGAGAAGAAAAGGAGGAGGGAGACATTATTTCCCTGTTATCACTTACCCATGTAGGAGACAAACTTAAGTAATTGGCGGGGTATGATGGTTGTATCTTCACAGCTAAAGATCTCCCTTTCCATGCTCCAAAGAAGCTTTGACCACTTCAACAGGACACAGAGCAGCAAGACTGAGAGTTAATACCCACATCAGCTCTCCGTTCAAGATGTCGGAAGAACAGATGTGTGTGTGAGGACTTATGGGGTAGGGATTGCAACTGTCACCTTCGGACTCTTTACTGTTTGGCTCAAAAGCTGCACGGAATAAAGGTTTCTGGAAGAAGTAAGTTGGGTTCTGCATTCCTGTAGCCTGGCAATCTGTCTCTCCTGCCAGCCCTGTGTCCTGGGGAGTCTCGCTTGTGAACAGTGCAGAGCTCTCAAATCCCATGGTGAGTGAGCGAGGGCAGTTGTACTGCCGGTTAACGGATCTGCAGATTTCGGAGGAAAGGAGAACACCCTCAGCAGAGAGCTGGGCTCATCTTTAATGAAATTGCAGCTTTTTATGTCAGCTTGAAAAATTGCCATCAGTGAAGAGTGTTTTGGACAAAAAGAACAGGTAGTGGTTTCACAGCCACAGGATCTTTATATGCTTTTTTTTAAGCCATCGGGACCTTATAAAACAAGTCACCATCTTTAAGGATGAATATTTTTAACATTAATTAACTAAACAGGAAAATGCTTGATACTTCTTTACTAAATCTCTTGCGTACTGCGAGCTTTGGCAGGCTGCCTTCTGCCATATGTTTCTAGCTTTCCCAGAGAAATTTTAGCCCTCGGTATTTTCCCTCCATCAAGGGCTGCGCTTCGGTTCTTTAGCACAGCGTGCCCACTGATAATGAAACACCTTTTCTTCTGGCTTCAAGCTTTTTCCTAAGGAGGCTGAGAGAAGGAAGATGAAAACAAAAATTAAAAGCAAGGGAAACAGCACCATCCCTGTGAGCTCAGACCGTGGTTGTAGGGCAGCGCTGGCTGGCGTGGGGTGCTCAGTCTGTTGCAGCGGTGCAATCAGCCGAGCTCCTCTGTCTGCAGCCCAGGGTGGGTTAGGGGGTGTACGTGTAGGTACTTGAGTCCCAAAATGCGGGGTCCTGAGGTGAAACCCTCCACGGGGGAGGTTTAACCATGCGCTGCGGGAAACTTTCCCAGCCATGCATGTCCAACCCCGGGGAGCGGCAAAGCTAATGAGTTTTGTCC